AAAATTTAGAGAAGCCAATCAACCAAACAGTCATGTTTTTGGACTGTGGGAGGAAGCCGGAGTACCCGGAAAGAACCCACGCATGCACAGGGAGAACATGCAAGCTCCATAGAGAAAGACCCCAGGCCAGGATTCTTCCTTCCTTCCTTCCTTCCTTCCTTCCTTCCTTCCTTCCTTCCTTCCTTCCTTCCTTCCTTCCTTCTCGTAAAGATCAGCACCTATGCCCTGCTTAAAATGTCTATTTTCTTGTCTTTGCTGCATTGAAATGGTTATGAGACCTCAGTGAGACCTTCCTTCCTTCCTTGTAAAGTTATTACAAATAACCTTACAAATACGTAGTTTTTTTTTGGAACATTTTCCTTATGTGAATGTCGGAATGATTTTTGCATAGCAGTGCTTTTTTTTCATTCCTAGCAGTTTCTCCAACACGATTCCAAATGTAAACATTTGAATTTAAAGTTGAGCCTTGTCCTAAGGGCTTTGCTCAAAAAAAAAAAATTCTTTGTTTCTTCTTTTAGTTTATGGGTTTTCCTTTTTCTACTGTCAGGCCTCTGAAGATTAGATCAAAATTAGACTACAAGTTGAACACAAGTCACTGTAAGTCCTTGTCACATTCATTATACCTTACAGCTTGCCGCTGAGGTGTCCTTACTAGTTATGTTTTGTGTTATCTGGAAAATGGTGCCTTGGGAAGCATTACTTTAATTGATATTTTTCAAGTTTTTCAACAGAGGCTTAAAAACTGAAATTTAAGTTAAGTTTAACAAAAGCATATGTCACTACGTGTGCCAGGCTGTTGATGTCCTAGTAAGTATCCATAATGGCATTGGATAGTTGTATTGAGTCAAGAAGTGTCTAGAGAGACATAATATAGGAAATTAGTAATTTTGTGATAAAGAGATATGACACATAATCAGAATTAGACCAAATGGAGAAGAAGATTGTAATGAGTGTCACTCTTATTGTGATAAAATGTCGATACCGAAATTCATCCGTTCATAAGCAGTTGCAGTTTTGCCTTGAGCATAGTCTTCTAATAACATTCTATTTGGTGCCACCCTCTATAACTTTTATTACACGCCCATGGACTTTAAATCCTTACTAATTACAGATTTGCTAAAATGACTGGAGCTTTCATTCATTTTGTGGATGTTGGCAGACCCCACATCCTGCAGCTTCACTGGTGCTCCTCAGGACCAAGGATGTGAGTGAGGGGTGGCAGTGCAGCATATATGCCGCCACCACACACGCTGTGCTGCCTTTGGCCTTAGATCACATGCCAGTTCTTTCACTTAGCGTGCCAAGTAGCTTGGCTGGCTCCATCATCACAGTGCAAGTGGGCATGTTCAGCCGCCAGCTGGCAGTCGCGGACCTTCAGTAAGAGAATGGTACAGACATGGCACACGTTCAAAAACTTTTCTCTTCCCTCCCTAAACCCCCTACTCTGCAGACGAGGATGGCATGTTCCTAACGAAACTGGAGGCTTCGTTCGACAGAACCCCCCCCCTCCACTCATAGGAATAGTATCGTCAAAGACCACTCAACTCCCATTTTTATAGAAAAGCTGCAATTGCTACCCCTGCCTGGACCACTGTTGTTTCAGGAAAATTTTTACTAGTGGAGATTTGTCATAGTTCCTGGCCTCTTTTATGGATGCAGATGGCACTGCCACGGTTTGTTAGGATTCTCCCTAAATAATGAACAAATGTAATATTGGAGGAAACGAAGAAAGGTAAAGGCGACTCGAGTTTTTGGATTCGTTTTCTGGATGTTGGCCATGTCTTCGACTTAAACTACACTGCGTCTGGAATCTGAGTCAAAGAGAGATCTATATACAAATATTTGAAATATTCATAAGGATGACTGGAGTGTGCGACAAAGAGCGTCGCATTATATCTGTTTGATGAGAGAGAAAGGTAAGGTTTGCAAAAGGATCGGCAGCCATCATTACTGCATCGAAGACCTGGTGCCAGCGCCTCCTTTAGAAAATACCACCTTGAACAATATTGCTGTTGATGGGCAGGACGACCGCAAGCTGGCGCCAACTCTCAGCTTGGCATGGGATGGCATCTGAGAACAAAACACGAGAAAAAAACGGACCCCCACAGATCTACGAGAGCGGCTGAGAGGGTAACACAAACCGTGGGGAGTACCCAAGCATGTGTCAGGTTGGCATCAGTGTGAGAATGTCTTGGCAAGCTCTCAGCTCTCTCCCCTCCCACCTCGGCTCACACACACAAACACACTGTTGCCCTGCTTGGAACACATGGTACATCAGCAGCGGCATCTGGCCACGCTGACTCCTGGCAGCTGCGCTTCGTCTTCGCCAGTTGGGCGTTTTGGCACTGCCACTTCATCAACTACCTGTGGCTCCTCTTGGGTAAAAAAGGCGAGCGATGAATTATTCCAAAGCTGCAGCTGCAAACTTGACTTTCATCCAAGAGTTTCACTTTAAACATCTGAGCGCCTCAGCGCACATGTGCCGCTCAGATACTGATGTGTAGTTGACGACACGGTTTATGTTTGGCACATTGTGATGTAATGTCCTTCTGTGATGGTTTGGGTTCATTTTGATGTGAACGATCTGCCTTTTTGTGCCAAAGAAAGCCTTCAGCATCAGAAGCTTGCAAAACTGATTAACAGCAACTGAAGTAGTGCAAATAGGAAAAAGAAAGGACCAAATTTTGCAAGGGAATTTTATTTGAATCTAATTACTTTCAGACCATTTTTTATGTTTGTAATTTTATCACACAAAGAAAAACTGAGAGGACAAAGGCTTTAAGAGGCGAATGTATGGCAACCTTTAAACCTTGAAATAAGATGCTTAATTTCAAGCATGTGTAATGGTCTTTTTTTGTCAACCAATTGCAGTTTTCTAAATCTTTCCTTAATGATTTCTTTTCCACTACCCTTTTTTGTGAATTGCTCCCAAAGACTGCAGAAAGATGCCACCACTACCAGTTACTCTTTGGACTATAAATTCACTTTTAGGTGATTTTTTTTTTTACACATGGCTACATTCAAATAGAATAGTGCAAAGCTGCAAATCCTATTATTGAGATCTGCACAGTTTAGTTTACCAAGGAATAATTAGTTCTGATTGAAGTTATTGATATAATTTTATTGATTTGTTTATACAAGAAGAAATCGAAAAAAGGACAAATACAGAATAAGAAGCTTATATAACATATCTGTGGTTTCTCTATTTGTCATACTTGGTCGTCGGTATCATGAGAACTGCTGGATGCAAACTGATCTCACAAGCAAAATCTATATTTGCAGCCCTACATGAGTAGAAAAGCAGGCTGTTATAGCTAATCTATGAACTTTTTAACATTATCTGTCACTAATATTCTCGCCTGGATTTTTTTTTTCTGTGGGTGTTAGTCACATGATAGTTACCCAGGGGGATTTTTTCGCCCATCTGTGTCAGTCTGACCCATTTTAGCCCTCGGCCATGTCCAACTGTTCCATGTCCCAAACATATGTGGGGTGGCAGGGGGATAAGCGAACCATCGCCATACGGGACCTGCAGACACAGACTGCTGATATGAGACTGGACCCCGCCTTCCTGTGTGCGACCTTTCCAAAGGACCTTTTAAAATTAGCATAAAGTGCAGTAAATGTAATTATCTGTTAAAAAATAAATAATTCCTCTTTGCAGACTTTTTGTTTTGTTTAGATATTTTTATGTTTTTATTAAACTTTAAGGGCACTGTTCCCTTTGTGCCTCCTAGTCAACACCCACCCCAGACTCTTGACTTGGTGGTAAGACTGGGTTAGCTTTTTTTCTCCCCTGATTATAACTCACGCCAGTAAGGCAAGGATTGGCCATTCAGAGGATAAATTCAAGTATTTTCAAAGTTGTCCATGTTGGCAGACGAGATGGTTTCATTGCACAGAGCCTGGACCCACTGGGGACACAGGGGTGTGAGGCACATATGGGCAAACAGTCTGCTGATGAGCTGCTTACATGAGCCTCTCATCATGGCCTCAGAGAGTTGTCCCCACAAGAGGATTTGGAAGAACTGCGGATATGTGTGACATCTGAGCTGGAAGCATATCTTTTGCCTTTAGATTTTCTGTTAAGTAAAGCTATAAAATTGCCTTCTACTTGCTAAGATGACTGTTTTTATTAAATATAGTAAATAAACAGAGAAATGTTAAGCTTTATGGTAATTACGGATAAATAACTCATATCTAATTTTCTTGAACTATTCATTTTGAAAAGATAAAGAATCCTCCGGCATTTCACATGGCTTTCCGCTAATGCCTTATTGATTGTCTTCTTTCCGCTTTAACTTTAACATGTAAGGATGGAAACTATAGGTCTCGGTGGGCCTTCATGCAGCCCTTCCGCCTCCCTACATAAGTCATGTCAGGATCTCTAACTTGCTTTCTCAACATATTATTGTCAATATAAGATCTCATTCAAAAATACATTATATCAGCACTTATAGCAGCACAACTAAGTTAAAGCTGAAAATGTAACTTAAAATTTGATTTAGTTTTCAATCCTTCAAAATAATTTGTGCATACAAAAGCTTTAAGCAGGCTTTAAGCTGTGGCAAATTTTTTATTTGTTTTTGCAAAACCGTGCAATAACCTTGGCTTCTCCAGTGAACCTTCTCCAGGTTCTAGAAAGATGCTAATGTTTTATGCTCTAACCAATTGACAAGGGTTTTCCGACAGAAAGCAAGAAAATAATAAATTTTCTATGCATTTTATATTCCCTCTATGCATTTTTTTTTAACTTTATTCAGTCCCTGCCAGCCATCTGTCTTAGTCCATCTTTTACAAACATGCAGCACAGCCAGCCGCATACACATTGGCACACACACACACATACACCCTTGCTC